CCAACAATTAAACACCCTCCATCTTCTATCTCGTTTTCAACAACAACCCAGTATAATCCCACTAGTAGGGTCTGGGGAGGGTAGTGTGTACGCAACCCTTACCCCTACCTTGGGGTAGAGAGGCTGTTTCCTATAGACCCTCGGCTCCCTCCCTCCAAGAACTCTCCACCTTGCTCTTGGGGTGACTCGAACTCACTAACCTCTTGGTTGGAAGTGGAGGGTGCTCACCACTAGAGCAACACATCCTTGTCGATCTTCTATCTTGTTTTCAGACCAACTTTTTTCGACAGCAATGACAATAACATTACTCCACAAACCTACATACTCAAATAAGAGAAGCACAAAGCCCTGACGAATGTGCCAATTAGCTAATAAACAAATGTGATTGAACATATTCTTACACTAAAACCACTAGGAATCTAAAGGGTGTCTTCCTATATACTCAAAAGACACAACTTTTTAGGTAGAATTGAAGTTTATTTATTTTTCCTTGAAAGCAAGATTCATATGTTTTCTTCCTGAAACATCTTCAGATATACATCCCTAAATCTCCAAATAATCAGCTTAAATGAGCTAAAATAGAAAATACAAATGAAAAGCTTAGACAACAGTCACAAAGACAAAATGAGCTCAGGAACATTTAGGTTGACAAAATCATCCTGTTTATTTTACAAGATCAAAACTTTATCCCAAACAAATCTTGAAACAAGAGAAATAATTACATAAAAACATGTAAAATTCAAGAAATACCTCATTAATCAAGTCAGCAGAGCTCCAAAAAATCAAGACTCTATCTTTTCTTTTTCAAACTGTTTTAAGATTTTGATAAGAAAAGCAGAACCCCAAATGAGATCTCATAGTCATAACAAAAAAGAAAGCATCTTTGAGTTCAGTGAAGAAAGAATCAATTAAAAAAAATTACTGGGGTATTTATATTCTCATGTGAAAAAACAAGAAAGAATGTTAAAAAAGAAAACCCCACAAATCATAATCAAAATAGGTATAAGAACCTAATTTTTTTTGGTTTCCCACCCGGTGTCCGATACCCGCATTGGAACCCGACTATATCAGCGCTCCCTACCAAGAATTTTTCCATACCCATACTCAAACTCGAAACCTCTAGTTAAGGGAGGAGCAGAGCCCTGCACCACATCCTTTGGTGGTATAAGAACCTAATTTTAATTCCAAGTGAGTAGTAGTAATAGTAGTGTACTCTGTTTTTCCACATTCACTGCTCTATCTGCCTTTTGTTTTTTCCTTTATTGTTTTTAATTATTACTAGTACTACTATTATTTTTCCTTTTTTCTTTCCCTTTTTCTGATTTATTTAGATTTATTTTACAAATTTCAATAAAATGCAGTTCCAACATATTCCAATCTAAATTTGTTGGCTCGAGATGCTATTTATAAAGGAAAAAATGACACTGTATGACCGCTCTTAAAATAATAGCGAAAAAAAATATATTTTATATACATTATATGTTATGCACAAAAAAATATAGTATATAACTTTTATAGATTATTACGGCTACCAGATATAATAGTTTCGCTCTAGGCTAAAAGCGATCTTTGCCCTTTATAATGTCCCGTTTGGTTAGAAATATTTTTGAGGCACTTTTCTTAAGAAAAAAATTGAGGAAAAAAAGTTGCTTAAAATAACAATAACCTATACCTTTTTCCTTGCATAAACTTTTCCGAATATTTTCTCAATTTTTTTTCCCAAAACTCTCTTCAAATGAGGCCTAGAAATGTTGTACATCAATATATTAATTACTAATAGTGACTATTGACCATGACTTGGTACAAGTAATCAAATTTTTGAAGGGGTAAGAAAATGGAGTTTTATTGGATAGTATGCAATAATTTTTTTTTTGTTGGTAACAGGGTAAACCCGTCATTGCTACAACATCTGCTATAGCCTCTGCCACAACCTCTGCCCTTCGGGTGAGCACTTTGTGCGCATTGGGTAAACCTCCCCCGTGTAATAGCTTGCAAACCATACAGGGGATGTAAACCGCACTAGGCAAGTCCTGTGCGAAAGATTCAACCTATAAGGCATTAAAGGGGGGATTCGTTCTCAGGTCATTCGTATCCCTCCAAACCAACTGGGCAACCCCGAAGAATTAGTATGCAATAATTTATGAGGAATTAAATGGAAGTAAAAGATGAAACTTGAATAAATAAATAAAAAAACCAATTCCATTGAATGGGATGAGTAAGTGCAATAGTCAATTATTAGCAGGGTATGGTGTCACCTTCTCGTTTTACTATTTTAATATATATACACCTACCGCAAAAGAGTGTATGAAATATTAGAAAAGTGTTGTAAAATATATATTTTGATTATTTATTATTTTTAAAATAAAATTTTACTCGCATCGAGTGTTTATATCAAATTAATAAATGTAATTTATATATGATTAAGCGATATGCATTTTTATTTTGAATCGTTGATTCTTGCAATTAATTATTTAGTTATGCATGAATATTCGGTGCGAATAAGTATTTATCAAGAGTTGGAGTCAGGATATCAACTCTATGGGTTCTTGATTATGAACAACGACATCAAGTGTTATTGACTGAATCCTAAATTTAATATATATATATATATAATATATATATATAATAAATGAAAATACATCGTTTAAGTAAAAACAACTGCGTTTGGACGAACCCATAGTGCGACTTCTGCCCCGACCCGCTTATTATGTTTTAAAGCATATTTCTACACATAAACTTAGAGAGGAAATGAATTAAAATAACATTTAACCAAAAAAAATAAATTAAAATAACAAATATACATCAGGGCATGTTGTCACCTTCTCGTTTTACTGTTTTATATCAATGCGCCAACCAAACAATCGTTTTTTAAAAATCCAACCTCTTGTTTTTTCTGGGTTTTGGGTTTATCTTATCAAATTTGTTTCGGCAAAGGTTCAAATACACTCCTGTACTTTCGAAAATGGTCTAAGAATATCCCTCGTTATACTATTGGATTATCTATACCTCTGTTGTTATACTTTGGAACAAAAATACTCCTATTTTGGATGGAGTCCCACGTGACAACACCAGATTAAAACGACCCTTTTTTTTTTTACTCGACCCGTTTTATATAAAACCCACCACCCGACCCAATTTTTACCCAAGGTAAAAAAAATCCTCAATCTAGGTCCTAATTTTTAAATTTAAAAATATTTTTATTTATACTTCTCGTTTATTTTTAATGATAAGTTTGTATAATACACAAAAATTTTAATCTAAAGATTTCAAATGTCAAAAGTTTACAAGTGTTATGGTATTTTTAACCTTAAGTTTTAAAATATTATTTTTCTAAAGTCGATGTCGAATCAAACTTTACCAAGTAAATCGAAATAACCGTTGATTAATGAATTAAAAAAAAAGTGAGAAATTAGAATTTAGTCGTAAAACGAAAAAACACTAAGATCATTTTGTTTATATACTTAACTCTCAATAAGCAAATATTAAAGAAATTTTTTACCTTGGGTGAAAATTGGGTCGGGTGGTAGATTTTTTAAAAACGGGTCGGGTAAAAAAAAGAAATGGATCGTTTTAATCTAGTGCCGTCACATGGCACTCCATCCAAAATAGGGGTATTTTTGTTTCAGAGTATGACAGAAAGGTATAGATAATCCAATAGCATAACGAGGGGTATTCTTAGAATTTTTGAAGTACTTGAGTATATTTGACCCTTTGCCCAATTTGTTTAGGTGGCGAGTGATTGGGACCCTTAACCAATAAAGACCGGTAGGGAGCCCATTTAATCACAAATGAGGAATACAACACGTGGCAGGAACATGACACTGAGGATGTTTTTTTTTTTTTTTTTGATTTCTCACCCGGTATCCGGTACCCATATTGGGGACCGACTAATCCGGATTCGCGCCGGAAAGTTTCACATTGGGAGGTAAAGCGCTCCCTAACAAAGACGACTCCATACTTAGGGGCTCGAACTCGAGATCTTTGGTTAAAGATGATATCACTCTACCACAACCCTTGTTGGTGACACTGAGGATACTAAATGCACGGCACTAGAAATTAATGAAACAATATTTCCACCCTTTTGTTTACAAATGGGATTTAATTCTTGATTTCTTCATTTAAAGATGGCCAAATTTATGTAACACCTTTGCAGACAAGGCCACTATGAGAATTATGCTCGCAATTTTCAATTTATATGAACAGCTTGACTGAGTACGATGTATAAGAAAATATATATTTTTTAAAATTATTATTAAACATACCACAAGATTGCTATGATTATAAAGACATATCATTGAGATAAAATAAAATCTGAAGCTAAATTATTTTCAAATTAGAATCTGTTAATTTTCAAAATAAATTAATAAAAAAATAATATCACATAATATTAAACAAATAAAATAATAAGAACTGCTCTGCGAGTAATAAGCAGTTAAATGAGATGAGGTGTCTCCTCTCTTTCAATCAATTGTCAATAAATTCCCAAGTCTTTGTGGAGACATCCTC